TCCTTGATTATTTCTTTGTAAAGTACATTTTAATAAGTAGTTTAAGAAATCACTTTGAAAGAATTTCAATTTTGCCAACTGGGTATATAGAACTGATTTAATAATTACTTCAGATTATAGATATTATAAAAACAGTTCAGATTAATTCAAAGTTTCATCACAATTGTGTTGGAAGCTGACATTATGACTTGCTAGAAGAGTCTTCCCCTACATAAGCTCTTTTTCTTCAGAGTAATTTTTGGAGATGTGTGGTCCACTTCTGAACTGAAGACCAGTCAGTCCCCTACACTCCCTCTCTGTGAAGAAGCTGAGGGTGTCTTCTGGGATCTGAAGACACACGCCAAATGCCCTTGTTTCACTGTTTAAACAGTATAATCTCCACACCTATTAGACTTGTCTAGAAAAAGCAGAACTAGCACAAAGTGAGAATAGCAACTAGAATTCCTTTTCAGGGTTGAAAAGAGTGTTTTCAGATTACATTTAAAAGGCAATTAAGATAAAAAGGGTAAAGGAGAGGTAGAGAGGCTCCCTAGATTTCTCAGCTTTCAGAAGTACAGGATAGCTAGTAAGGAGCGTTTTACCAGATTAGAGCTCTAGATGCATAGAGAATGTTGCAGTTCATGATATCTTCTCAGTGGGTGCCCATGGAGCCAGTAGTGTAGTGGTTACATATTGGACTGTGATCCTCAAGGTCAGCAGTTTGAAACCACCAGCCCTCCGAAGGAGAAAGATGAGGCTTTCTATTCCAGTAAAGCGTGACAATCTTGGAAACCCCCAGAGACGTTTCTACCCTGCCCTATAGTGTCACTATGGGTTGGCATTGACACAATGGCAGGGACTTTGGCTTGTTCTTAACTGTGTATCCCTAGCCCCCAGCTCCCTCTGAAGTCCTCCCAGAGTCATTGTGCTCCTCCTGTCTTTGAGGGCAGGCAGAGTGATGTGGTAGAAGGACAACTGAGCCGGAAGTCAGGATTGCTGGCATCTCTGTCACAATGCCTCCATCTCCTCACTT